AGAGTTGAGAAAATCAATAAATTTCATGACAACGGATTATTTAGTATATGAGATAAAAAATTGAATTATTAAACTTATTACTCCAATTTTACACAAACTCAATAGGGTTTTCAATTTTCTTATTCCCTTGAATATTAATCTAGCTTCAAATTCGAATGAAAAATATTTTTATCAAGCACGAACATTTTTAAAAACCATTTAAACAATAAAATTGAATAAATTTTAATACTTAGACTGCTAAGACACATTTAAATTATGATGAATAGTTTTCTGTATGTCAAAGATCAATTTTTAGTGGTGATAGAGTCTAGACGTGAAGTAGAGTTTTGATAACACGAAATAATCATCTTCATAGCGTAGGTCAGGAAGAAGAGAGAAAGAAGTAGTGCGAGAAAGAGATATAGTCTATGAGTCAGTTTTAAGTTTTGATAGAAAGATGACAAATAATGTAAATTCGTTTGTGAGGGAAAATAGAACTACAAGAAAATTATAATAGGATGATAAATTTATCAGAATAATTTTTGTATCAGCCTTTGCAATTTAAAAAACATTTATCATTTTGGAGTTTAATAAAAAAACATGTCTAGTATTTGCAATGGAAAAATTGAATCTCTTTACTCGGTCTAACTTTAAGAGAAATAAATTTACAAGCATTTGATTTAATATATTCAAGAACATTTTTTTATCTATTATAGATAAAAAAATACATTTTTACTCAATAAAGTATTTTTTACTAACAATAAAGACAATTATTTTGTGTTGCATGGGAAAATTTATTTGTCATCATAAAGTTAAAAAATCATTTCATTCCACTTGTTTTCTGATGATAATATTTAGGATAAATTCATTAAATTATTTTATTTATAACCAGTAAATTATCATGCTTGATAATTCATTTTCTTTCTTTATCGTAAATTGTTATTATCATGTTATCATATTTTTGAACAATTAAAAATGCTAGAATGTGTCGGGGAAACAGACTTTGAACGAAAAATACGAAACCACTAAAATTCAACAAAGCCTCTATTATTGTAAAACGAAAAGAAAGCAATGAAAAGCTTTATTGTTATTTCTAACATAATACCAATTGTTTGCTTTTAACAAGATTTATGCTTTATATAGAATATCTAATAATAAATACAAAAAAAATTTGAAATGTCAAGTAATTAAAAATATTATTTACACATTCTCAATATCCGAATGAACATACGGATTAATATTCTGTACCTTTTTTTTACTATTTTTCATTCATCAAAACTTTAACCGAAAGATCTGATACTCATTTATTTCGTGGTAGTTATCTTTTATTCTTCTGATATTACTTGGTGTTATCTCTCTTTTCATTTGTTTTCAGTAGGACAGAAAATTTTTAATTATTATTATAACGAAGAATTTATCAGTACCTTTAAGTTACGGTGAAAATTAGAATGAAGAGGAGCAGAAGCAACAATTTCTCACTGTCTGCGTTCCGCTAAATATTTCACGTCGCGGCTCGCTTAATCGGGCAAATCGTCCTGATAATTAAAGCCTGGTGGCTAATGAGCGAGGATGAGTACGAGAATAAACTACGAAAACCCCCGAAAAATATCATTTTTTTACCCTCATTCTCTCACTTATCCTTTTTACCTTCATTTACTATTTCTTTTGTTTTAACTATTTAAATACGTTTGCTGTGTTGAATTTTTGTTGAATGCTGTTCATTGTCTTCATTTTTTATCTTTAGAATTTTTCTAAAAATAAATTTTTTACATTGTTGATATCCAAACTAGATTTGAATTATTTCACAGTCATTTTCGTCTTCGTTGAATATTATTTTACGTTTATTTATCGATAAAAAATTTCAAAATTTGAATATTTGTATATAAATTGTACAAGTTATTAATTTAGAAGGCTTCTGTAAAATCCAATGTAAAGCATTCCTGGTGTGGTGTTATCATCTAGTCATGTTCTACACTAAATACTCGGTAATGTTCTACATGTTGGTACATCTTCTTATAAAAAAATTTGCATTAATTCTGATTGCTAATTTTATCATTTAAAAAAAAATTACTTCAATTTTACTTAACTATCTTTGAACTCCTGCAGAATACTTTTTTATTTATTGCGATGTAACAGATAATTGAAATAATAACAAAAAGTCTTCCATTAAGTACAGCATATTAATATTTTAAATGTATCCTAAATATTCTAAATGCAATGTGAAAATATTTTCAACTAATTCATTTCATTCATTAACTTGTAGATTAATTTCTCTTCAAATAAGAAGAACGTTTCCTTCTCGTTTCTCAATGAAGAAAACTTCTTTTATGCATGCGAATATTGTTGTGATCTTTTTATATCTTGTGCAATGAGTAGAGAATTTCGTGGTTAAAATTACGAGCATCATAAAGATTTATCTCAACTATAACTCAAAAATAAGGAAAGAATTCACAAAAAAAATTAATATCTTTCATCATAAAAATAGACTGAAGACCTGAATTTTACGGAATATAATCGATTTCCGTTGTAATCTCCATTCGGAGATAATTTTTTCCCAGTTACTGTAGTGGATAAGTGAGAATAAAGATAAGAAAGTGGGAGGGTAAAAAATGAAAGAAGGCGACAAACAACAAATACAGCATGACCTATTTTTCTCAGTAACAACGAACTGGAGGACCTGTTCTAAGTTTATGAAGCTTTATCACCTCACTTCCTTCCTCTTTTGAAGTCCTTCATTTCTCCAAGATCTTGCTTGCTTTTACGTTCACAAAAAGACGCTTGAGATTACCTGAAATGAATTCCGAAGCTGCTGGAATGAAGCATGAGCCATAGACTTGATGAAAACGAGAATAAGGCGGAGTCAATTTTTCGTCTCTATTTTTTTCAACATGTTTTATTGTTTTCTGCATATATTTTCCTTTGCTCTGCATATATTATGATCCTCCATACTTCGCTTCTTCTATATTCGATTAATCTCAACTCCTGAAGCCATTCATAGTAGCTGAAATTCAGTCACTTTTTCATTGTTGATGACTGTGATACAAGTCAATATGTGTTTGCATATTTAATCTTCCCATTTTTAAGTAATTCTCAAGGAAGATTAATCATTCTGCTACATGCCCTTTAAATTTAAATTGTCTTTGCTTTCAATGTTTTTTGTTTTTTTATTTTCTATATAAATTAAAACTTCAAATAATTAAGTGCATTTTTCTTCATCTCCATGATTAATGTACCACCCTGATCTTTCTTTGTGTAGTTATTTATAAACAAATGAAATTTTTTAACTCTTTAAAGTTTTCTCCCATTAAAAAAAATACCTAGGAACCTAACGATTACCAAAATGTTTTATAACTATTTAAACAATTGAAAATACATTTTAAAGTCTAGTTTTATTATTTATATAATCCAATCCATGTAAAATTGTTATATTTAGAATTTACTATAAAAAAATTGTTTCACAGCTTGTCTTTTCTCACGTGGTTATAAAGTAGGTAGTCTACCGTGAAGCAAATGCATAAAGTATTCATATACTTCATGAAAAAAAAATTCGATATAGGGGAGATTTAACTTACCCCCTTTTATTTTCATTACCTTAATCGTAAAATAAATGATCATATGTGATAAACGTAATTTTGTGAATGCGAAACAGTAGATTGTAATCAGTTTATTGATAATACTCGATAATCCATTGTATAATTATTCCGAAAACTGTAGATAAAAATTCTGGAATTAAAATTTCTATCTGTTACATTCTAGTTATTATTGGTGATACTAGAGATTATAATGATCAAGAATTTGGTACGAACGATTTTTTTTATTGTCAAATTATACATTCGCTATTAAACTATCTAATCGTACAATAATAAAACGCGTTTCTTTTGTAAACATGTAGTTTAATAGCGAATATATCATAATGTTAATAGTGAATTCATTAGTTTGCAAATTTTTCCATCAATTTTTCTATCTCGAGGGAAAATCCAAAGCAAGTATTTGCATCATAAAAATAAAAATGGATAAAAAAATCAAAGAAATTTTATGAATGAATTATCATTTGGAATTATAAATATAATAAATTTTTTTAATTTACTATCTTTAGCAATCTGCTTGCCTACATTATAGCAATATTTTTTGTATTTTATCTAAAATTTATAATATATTCTACCATATTTGATATAAATATACACTTTTCTACGAAAATTTTCCCTCTGAGAATCTCAATTACTTTTTCTCTCCTTTTACCTTTATCGAACCCACTCGCCCACTTTTTTACAGAATCACTAACTTCTTTTGTTTGCAGCTCAGCTGCCTATCTAGAAAATATTTCATTATGAATAGTTCAGTTGCATTGATATGAAATTCAGATCAACTTGTCCATTTTTATCGTATTATTTGCTATCTTAAAAAATTGATTGGTTGTTGAATATTTAGTAGTTAACTAATAACTTAAGCGTCTGAATAATTTGATTGTCAAGACACCCAAGTCAACATATACCTTTAATATTTCTTGAATATCAAATGGTTTCATTCTCCAATACACCCCCAATTGTCTACACTTAAATAATGGATTAACTATCATTTTCTACGCTTTAATAATGGATTAACTTCTGAACTCGATAACTCTATAAATTTCCTGTTTACTTATCTGGAGATATTTTTCTTCTCAATGTTCGTACATTGCCTGTAGCGTACCACCGATTGCATAATGTAAACTGGGGGATTGTAGGATTATGTAAAAAAAATGAAGATTATGAAAGAAGACATTTCCATGATTACATCTAACCGATGGAAAATGATTCGCGAGTATATGGTCGTTCCCTATTCTCATGAATTGCAAATTTCAGAATAGGTAACCCACTATAGTATAAAACAGAAGAAAAGATGAAGCAAAAAGTTTGGAATGTTATTGTCAGTAGGAGACGTAAATTTAGTAGACGTCTAACAAAATGAAAGTTTTTCTCATTTATCTTTTATGATTTCTTAATAATGCATTCTCATGTTCATTTCTCAAAATTGTCTTACAGACTGCTGCCAGAGACTCGAGCAAAATCCGGCCAAAGATTAAAACGATGATGAGCTTTTCGCTGATATCGTCCTTCAGTAACTACAGTAATTAATGCCAAAGCAAAAGCTGCCAAAAATAAAGAAAAAAAAAACAAAATCAAAGATTAAGCGAAAAGGTCTTTACAACAATAAATAAAACAATTCTCAAGATAAACAAAAAAAAAAAATTTAAGAAGACAGATGAAAGCAAAAAGTGAATAGAAAACGCCTTGAATCCCATAAATATTCGAATCAAGTTAGAGACTCTTTCGTGGAAGGAAATAAGGGGAGTGAAGTTCAATATCGAATTTCTCTTTCACACAGAGTAGACAAAGAGATCATGAAGAGGATGTCCAAGTCATGTAAGTGATTCATAGTGAGTAAAAAGACGAAGGGAAGGAGGTAGAGGATTGAAAGACAAGAGGGTGAGTCCGGTGTTGAAACCGGAAGTATTAATTACACTCGGGTTCGTGTGATGGTCTCAGGGTGGTGTCCGTGCGTGCCTCTCGGGCGTCGGGAGTCCTCGCGCTCACATCCCACCAACAACGGCGGTCCTTACACCGTCAGCGCTGCTACGGATCACGCTGAAATGGTCCAGATGTTTTACTATGAGAACCGAGGCAAATGTTGCAGAAAACTCCTGAGATACAACGGATATCCGAATAAGGTAAGGAACATTTATTTTTTTATGATTTGTAACTCCACTGTGAAAACTTTCTTCAAGATTTTTCATTCATTCTTGGATTTATATATTTTTATTTTACTAAACAAAAATAAATAAAAAATGAAATTTAAAAATTTTAAAATTAATAAGAAGTAGAATTTGATGAAAAATTAATTGCATGGAAGGTGAAAATTTATTTATATTAATGATTTATTTATTCATAAAAATAATTAATGATGAATAACGAGATTTTATAAAATTGATTAATTTAAAATTGAAGTTTGTTAAATAAATAATCAGTTGAGTTAAAAAAATTTATTTGTTACTATAGCGTAGAATTGATTGAAGTAGGCATTTTCATTTTTAACGTGATGGAAAGGTTAATTAAAATTTGACGCTTCTATATTATTGATCAAACCCGTCAGTTCAGTGTAGATATATTAAAAAAAAGAGAAAAAAATATTTAAATAATTTAATTCCCAATCAAAAAAATAAAATTGTACTGTAATTCTCATATTGATTACTATTCTCTTTTTCACTTTAATTTCTTTCTAACTAGTTTTTTTATATGAAAATTGGAAATAAATGATTATTTCTTATTTCAATTTAGTTTCGAACAGATAATTTGAAAAATTTTACCACTCGGGGCAATAGAAAAAATGATAAAAGTTCATATTTAAAGAGTGTGGAGAAGAGATGAAGAAAAAAGATGAGTTCTTATTACCTTCCGGCCAATAATTCGCCGAATTTTATACAAAATTGAATGCATCAAGCATTGTATGTATATCTATACTTTTTAGTTAAAAGTAGTAGGAGGTAAAGGAATAGAGATGTAGTGATAGAAGAAATGGTGCAATGTAGCGAATCGACTACATGTCTTAGTGAGGGTCTTCAAAGGTAGAACTCAATTCTTTGAACTTTCTTGGCAAAATGTCAGATGCAAAACCGCTGCTAGAAATTTAAATGACTGTTTCCGAACAAAAAAAATAATACGAACTGCAAAAATTTTATATTTCTAATAAAGTCTATATAACAAAGAAATGAATATTTTTATTATCTCTTCATTGCTTTAAAATTACGACTCAAATAAAATTAGTGTAAATATGGACATTATTTTTACTATTACTACCGTTACAAATTTATATATGCATTTTCAGAACATTTTAAAATGTACTTCAAGAACAAAGAAGCCTTTACTGTATTCTTGAAGGCTTTGAAGTTAAAGAAAAGTCACAAAAGAAGTTTTTTAGACTTCAGACGCTGTAATATATGCATATTGTCAGAAGAGAATATTATACAAAGAACGAATAAATACTTTTTTTTTCTGATAATGCGTTTTAGAATGAGTCTTGAAAAATTTTGCCAATGATGATCCTCGTGAAAAAGTTTTGTTGTTTTGAAAGTGTAAAAGTTCTCTTACTGTAGTTGAATTGCTATTTGAAAAGTGGAATTATTAAAAAAGGTTTATTTTTTATTGACTTTATGATAAATCAAATCAGTCATTTTATAATAAAAAGGCAATGGTTTAAAAATTATAATATGTCGACTGGTAAATATAGATGGACAGCACAAGAATACAAGGATCTTTCCTTCGACTACTAGATATTTTAAAATTAATCAGCTTCTAAAAACAAATTTGAAAATTTAATCAAGACTTCATGAAGGCCTTTAATTTTGCTACTCAAAAGTGCAATTTTTGTTTGGTTCATTTTTTACAGGAAAAATTAGCCTCAAGCTTCATTTGTGAATTTCCTGTTGTTGGTTTTTTATGATTTATTTTTAAAGAGGGTTGTTTGCTAATGGATTGTAGAGATAGAACTTTTTCAAAAAAATTTTTTCAAACATCCTCTGATTTACCTTCATGCTTTAAAATATTAAATTGAATCTCGGAAAATTCAATTACTGTTCCAGTGTATCCTGCACTATTTTTTGTTTGATATAAAAGATAATATGAGTAATAGTTTCATAAAATATTTAATACCTAAAATAAAAGAGATAAAAAAATAACGAGATACAAACATAAAATATACCGGAAATCTAAGAATTTTGATGGAGCCTCTTAAAGTCGGTACAGCCGGAAGTAATCAGGAAGTTTCTAGACGAATATAAGTGAAAAAAGGAGATAAAGTCAGAAGAGTAAAAGACTGACGTAAAAGTATAAAGAGACTTGCAAGTCTTTCGCTTACTTCCTCCAAATATTTCACTAATTTAAATAATTCAAATGTTCGTTCTCTCTTTCTGTGTTACCTCAAGTAATTCAGCGGGAGATGGGACACGTCTCGAGAGTCTTAGAGCGAAATGTAGGAATGATGAGGACAGTATATACTAACTCGTCAGTACTAACGAGATGTCGTAGATGTCGTGCGCTTTAGAACTTCCGGTTTAACGACTACGAGAGGACATCTAGTAGCGTTTCGACTATAGCGTTTCGACCAATGACATTACGCCCGAAGGTGATTCTCTTACACTATCTCTAAAGACTATTGTTGATGAACACAACTTAATTATCATTTCAACTTGAATTGTTATTGAGGTAGCCTAGATACGTGTGTGGAGATATGTATTTCTATATTTAATACCTATTTCAAAAGTCATCTCGGTAAATTGGAATTTTCCCACTACCATAAAAGCCTCGTAGTCTAACTTTTTTTTCTTCTTTCATCCTACGTACACTTTGTCGATACACTTGCCACCCTTTCTATCCACTCTTTGCTTAGCTTTTGCATCGTCTCTTTATATGCTACACTTCTCCAGGTCGAGGACACTTATTAAAAAGTTTACGGAACATTATTAGACCTGAGGTGGTAATTTTTATTCTCCGCCTCATTTTCGCACACTCGATATTTTTTACTGCTTCATCTAATTTCGTTATTAATCCAGAACTTGTTTTTATAGAAAATATATACTTATTTACCTTTATTATTCAATTTACCTTTATGCTTCCGTATCGATCAACAATTATCAAATAACGTCAGTAATTAACGAATTACTCATCAAAATGCACAGTTTATGATTCAACGATTGTGTATGTGCCTTTAACAAACATTATAAATTCCATGTTTTGAAAGTCCAATTTTTTTCAAGTCGTTGATGTCAAAAAATTATTATCAAAGAGTATAAAATTAATTTTTTTTGTAGTATCAAGGTTTTTTATTATCATAGTGACCAGTTATTAAAAAAAAGATCAAAAAGATAAAAAAAAAAATGAATGTACATCAAGTGTTAACAAATGTTTGTTAGAGTTGGACTTATTACTTCAATTCTCAAAATTTCATAGACTGACAAATTTTTCTTCAAAGCTCTCTTTTCTCATTTTTCGATCAATGGAACTTCCTCAACCTTTGAGTTTCAGGGAATTTAGAGTCTTAAGGTTTTTTTACTATTGAAATTCCTAACTTTGAGATTTTGTATCAGTTGCAATTATTAAATTTTTCAAAAGCTAATAATAAATTTTTATTGAAATAATTGTTCAAGCTAAGAAACTGAATTTCCATAAGCCATTTAACAACAAAAAAAAGTTTATTTAAAATGAAAAGAGGTCAAGTCGAATGGAAACAATATTGAAAATTCTGGTGGTTACATTAGAATGTAGGAGAGCTTTTTAATTTGAAATCAGGTTAATGCAGAGGAATTTAAGTATTCTCTTATCTCTTGAAAAATTTTTCTTTCAATAATAGTCATTATTCAACGAGGCCATACGTTATCCTAAAGCCATTTAACTATAGTATAGCTTCAATCTCCACTGTCTCCATTCGAATATAAACCACCCGATTTTTTGCTCCGAACAAAAGAGATAGATTCGTGAAAAGAAGTGCGAGGAAAAGGGGTGGTACACGAAGTGATCCTGAAATCCCATTTCGGGGCAGCAGAACTGAACGAGAATCACGTTGGTATCCGGAGTGGAACGGAATCCCCGTAACTCAATTCATTTTCCAGCTGGTACGAGTGACGTTCTAGTCGTACAGTAGCATATGGAAGGTGGATGGTGATCATCATGGGTGTGAGTATCGGTATCTATTTTTAAACTCATCCCTCCGTCTATTCCCGTGGACTTGATGAACTCTGCCAATGCTTTCATAGCACGACCCTGTGGGATAATAATAGTAGTTGCAGAATCAAAGCGGTTTATGTTCATCAACTTTAAATTATTAATCATTCGAGTTCAATAATTTTACCAATGTGTGGTCGAAACACAGTTACTGAATGATGTGTTTCAAAGATTTCAAATCATATTGCAGAATAAACAATACGATGAAATAATAAATTCAATTTTGAATTTGGTTACAAAATTATTAATACAAACATCCAGCAAAAGATGAACTCATCTTTCTGTCAATTTGATCGATTGGTTCTTCCATGTCAATTCGATGAATTAACATCAGTCATTAATGAATAATCAACGATTTATTCATCAGGAAAAAGTTTTTCTTAAAGAGCTGGAGATCATCATCATTAATTCTGGAGACTTTATTGAATGTCAAAATACTTTTGGAAGTGGAAAAAAGCAATCAGTTAAATAATAAAATAATATTTACCAATTTGATGTTTTTTGAATTCAATTAATTCTTGATGACCACTTAGAGAAACTGATATATAAAGTGTTTATTTAAAACGTTTTGATTTCCATCACGTACAAAAAAATGGATGTAACAAAATAAGAAATTCAATCTAAAAAAGTTTGAATATTAGAATATAAAGTTTTCTGTAGCAAGATAACTACTTTAAAAACTGGTTTGTCGATCTAGACACATAAAAACACAATTTATTCTGGCAGCGAATAGAATACGTTGGTTCAAATGCATCTATAGAATTGTTCCACTGATGAAGTAGTCTAGTAAAAGGGGAACACAGTGGTTTCTGTCCTTCTTTTCATCGAGCCCACATGAAAGAAATCCCGTGAGCTTCGGAAGCCCTTTTATCGTCTACCTTATCTGTTACTTGATTCCATTGTCTAATCGTATCTCTTATCCTTTTACTCGTACGTAAGACTTTTGTTTTAAGTT